CAAGTCACAGAATACTCGACACGAATTTGAATAGAAACTCAATCAATCATTGCTCGAGAAAATTCAAATAAACCTAATAAACCTTTTATTTCAAAAAATCATCGACTCGTAAAATCTCGCTGCATCTAATTGACTAACGAGCTGACGACGGAGATAGACAAAAGTACGTATAGCGCACAATTTTTTTCATGAAATTGACATCTTTCAAAGCAATAATTATACGTCTTAATTCGAGTTATACCACGCCATCGTTGCCCTTTTTAAATATTTTATATCGATTGAAATGTAAGCTTTACTTTAATTGTAAATCAAGGAGATTATTAAAACACGTCGAAAGTAAGTACAGTATAAATTATATAGTTTAACGCAGGCTCGTTTTCCGATCGCATTTATACATTATACGCTTATCACGCGTCAAGTCTTGTTCCAGCGATCGACTTTTCTTTTCCCAGCATCGAGTCCGTATATGGACACGATATTTAATATACGTGAATATTCAGAGTGAGAGGGAGGAAGAGATGACCGAGCGATCCACTTGTGTATATCCACGCGCCGAGTTTCCCTACTTTTTCCCTTTTCTCTCTCTCTCTATCTCACTCAGTTGTACCGAAGCTATAACACAGCAGCTTGCGTAAGCTCGCAAGCACACGAGAGAGAGAGAGAGAGAGAGAGAGAAAGTGTGTGTATGATATTTTCTCTCCCCCGCGTTGCCTCCTCTAGTCGTAATGTATACGTAGCGATTCTATGTATGTGTGTATGTGTGTGTGTGTGTGTATACAGAAGCTAAAAACGCGATGACGGTTGTCAACCCCCAAGTTAACCTACTTTTGCTCTCTCGCGGACTCGTTTTCTCTCTCTCTCTCCGCTTGCTGCTGCAACAACTGCTGTGAAGCTGAGCTGTTACAGCAACGGTAGCAGCACTCCCCCACACGCAGCAGCCGAGAGGGAAGACTCTCGGCTCGCGCTGCGACGTTAAGGCGCTATATACGAACACCGACACACACACACACACACACATTTATACTCCAACGCGCACATGTATACAATATCAATTGCTCTTACAGGCGAGAGCGCGATGCTGCTCATTGCTCCGACTCTGTTCTCGCGCACGTGTACTCACACACACACACACACACTTACACACTTGCCTTAATATAAAATACGTTTTAATTATCGTTTCGCGCCGCGTTCGCTCTTATATTACCAGTGACTGAGCTTGCAAGAAGTAGAGTATATATAATAATAATAGTATAATGGAAGAGGCCGCAAGCTCTCACTCTCGCCTGCGAGCTTTACATAAATGTATAAAGTACGTATTATATATCGTATCGCGCGTCAGGCTCGCGCCTACTCGTCTCTTTCATATATATATATATATGTATATGTATATATAATGTAGCACGCACGGCGAGCTCGAAAAACGGCAACCGCTACTACCTCGCAAGCGCGCGCGCGACAAAGGTTCACCTCCACTTTCGCGCGCGCATATTCATTTGTGCTGCTGCTGCTGCTCATCGCAACGCGCGTAATGTGCACCGTGTGTTTATACGTACAATGTCACATAATATAAAGGCAAAAAGGGCTAGCGTAGGTATACACGCGGCGGCCTACTTTCTTCCGACGACGACGACGACGACGACTACCCTACGTTTCATGACTCGAGCTCGTAAATCGTCGTCGTCGTCGCCTCTGCCGCTGTTGTTGTTGCTGTTGCGCGTCTATATGCTTTACTATCGGGATAGGATATGTGCTATATACCTGCACACGTACTACATGTATATTACTTTTCGTATCCCCTATACGTATAATGTACCGTGTATATGCCTCTATCGTGTATCAATGTATTCCACTGCATTAATTCTCGCGCGTGTGAAAGACACACCGAGTCCGAGAGTCCGCAGTGAGGGCGTGGATGGGATATATATAAAGACGATCTCACCTCCCAGACTGACTGAGAGGGAAATTTCCGAATTCGGGACTAATTTTAACTGTCGTCGCGTGACCATTACTGCTAAATACATATACGTTTTCGTATTTCGAGGGGGATAGGTTTCGTATATAGGCGTTGTAGAACACGAAAGCTCGGTTACGGCGTTGAGCAAATCAGATAAAAAATTGGTTCGTTTCTATAGGAAAACTGGATGAGAGATATTTGGATGTACGAGACGGACTTAACAACAGGGGACCAATGCGTACGAGTCATGTGCACGATCTGTCGCTAGATGGCTTTATCCCAGTTTTCAAGAATACCCCCATACAAATTAGCGAAGATTGGTAGTTATATGGTAGTTATATAAAGTGGGATTTATAATTCTCCTCCATTTTCTAAAATTTGAACATTTTTCAAAAAAGATATAGTATCTATGTTCTTTGTTTTTTCGTACATCTCTCCCATTGATCAAAAATGCCGTCATACACAATAGCTTTGCGGGCATAGTCTCGCATAATATCAACTACGATATCCGATCGTCATTGGCAGCTGTAGGAAAGATCGTTTGTATACCTGCCATCAACTGTGCTTAACTCGAGGCAGACTTGTCCTATACACGGCAACAACAACTATACGACAACAAAAACAAGCTAGAGAGAGATGAGATACAAAAGGGCTCTCGAGTCTCCTGAACCGTGAGCTTGCCTCGCGAGCGAGCGAGCCTTAAGTACTCGATTCGGGCGAGCTGGGAAAGTTTTCGTCGTCGTCGCTCGGACGCGCATTATCGTCTCTCCCTCTCTCTCTCGTCGAGCTCTCTCTAGAGGGAGATAGAAAGCGATATCGTCTATCGTTGGCCGAAGAGTGAGTTGCAAGCTGCTGCAAGCTCTCCGCCGCAGCGGCATCGATGATGATGTATAGGTATACAGCGACGTATTATATATTATATAGGATGAAGCTAGCTGGCTGCTGCACTCGCATGCAGCGTAAAATAGGTTTAGAGAGAGAGAGAGAGAAGCGAAGTTCCCCGAGAGGCGATCGTTATCGCCCTGACGCCGCCGCCACCCCGAAAACTTCCTGCCGAGTACACGGCATCTTCGATTATATGTATTTTGAAGCGCAGAGAGAGAGAGAGAGAGAGAAAGAACGAATGTAATGCGAATGTAGGATAAAGCCGCTCGTCCGGTTTACAAGATCAGAGCTTTGCATGCGAGCTTTGCCGTGCGAGTTTATAATTAGAGCGGATTTTACGTTGTGTTTTGCTTTTTCTTTTTGAAAAAAAAATTTTCTCCCGCGTATATGTTATTATTTTTTTAGGCGTTACGCGCGCGCACGAGGAAAAGCAAGAGAGCAGAAAAGTAAATATCGTAACAGCGCCTGCCAACTAGCCGGGGAATTTGACTTACGAACGGACGGACGGACGGACGGGCACGCAGCTTTGCGTGAGTGGTTTATTTTCCTATATACGTTTACTCGATGAATATAGAAAGTTTATGTGGTCGAAAAAATCGCCTCTCTATAGAGACCGTGTACTACGTATACACACACAAACACACAATAGGGCAAAATCAGTGCGAAAATTGACGAATATTTCGATAATGTACAACGTCGGGTATATAATATTATGTAGTCGAGCTTGATGCTGCCGCTGCTGCTGCTGCGCTACACGTATACGGGGAAAAGCTCCAATACATATAAACGCTTAAAGAGCTATTCAGGTCAGGAAACTTCAAACACTCACACTTTCTCTCTCTCTCTCTCACTCTCTCGCGCTCGTATATAGACTCCGTATACTATATAAAATATATATATAGGCGAAGGGGAGAGAGAAAGAGAGCGACACGTGCAACGACGACTACGACGTGGCAGACGTGTATACATATACGTGTGTTAGTAGTGGCACACACAGGCCTGCCTGCTGAGAGAGAGAGAGAGAGAGAAAAAGAGAAAGAGAGAATGTTTTGATCTAAAATGAAAATCAATCCGCGCTGGGGCGTGCAGCAGCAGCACTACTACCTATAGGCGGCAACTATGTATACACAACGTGTGCTGCTGCAAGCTCCGACTACGACGACGACGAAAACGACGATAGCAGAGCAGCAGAGCAACGATATAATATATACACATATACGTGTGCGCTATAAGTATTGTATACATAGTATACTACTCTCCCGGAGAGAACTGTCCACGACGACGACGACGACGACGACGATCGACAAAGTATAACAAAGAATTTTTCATTCGAGCTCGTGGAGTTGCTGCTGCCGCTGCTGGAAAAGCCAATAGATTGATGAACATTAGCTCGCGATTGAGAGAGAGGCGCACACATACACGTACACGTGCAAGCTCGCGCTTCGTCATATTTATAGTTGAACTTGAAATAGTTCCTTACTTTTCTTTTCTTTTCTCTCTCGCATTTGTTTATTATTTTTCCTATCGGGCATAGTTTGTTTCTTCTTTCCATCTCACCGGAGAGTTTTACACGTACTCGCGCGGGAATTTAGCGACTCGCGAGGGAAAAATTACGAGAAGAAACTAAAAGGATATCGTCGTGGATACCCTGCGTATATATAACAGTACTCAACATTAATAACGGCCTTGTAACAAAAAAAAATTAATGATCATCGATTGGGTCGTTTTTTTGATGATTTTTCCATTTGAATTTGCTCAGACTAGTTAGACGCGTTCCCCATGAAGAGTAACACGTTCATGTATCAAATCAAACGGAGAAATGTTGCTCATCGTAAATAACAACTATTTTGATCGCGATACTTTCAATAATCGTCTGCCGCTAGGTGGCGAGTACCTCAGTATCGGTGAATCTGCAAGTGGCAAAGTCATCATAAATATAAAAGTCAAAGTTCGATTAATTGAACTATACGATGTTTTGTACGATGTCTCTCTCCGCCCACGTTTATGTATGATTCAACGTCTTCGGGCTTGTTGTGCCTCAAACGCGTTACTTCTTCGAAAGCTTTATCATACATAATATTGCGTTTAACATGCTTTAGTCAATGGAGAATGAGAGCAGCAAAAGTTAGACGTGAAAAAAAAATAAAAGAAAAAAACTTAC